CCACACGCACCGAGGCCCCACCTACTGCAAGCTCCCTCCCCGCCCTTCCGAAGCTCAGCGTTCCTTCTCTGAAGGCCGAATTGAAAACCCGGAAAAGGATCGAGAAATTCCTGCGAGCCCACTGCGTTTACGCTTGGGTTGGCCGGAAGTTGAAGTGGGAGTGATTCCGCTTCCGTTTCGGTTTCTCCCCCTTAGTGTTTGGGTTTCTTCGCGGCCGCTCGAGATGAACCGATTCTTCGGGAAAGCGAAACCCAAGGCTCCGCCGCCCAGCCTGACTGACTGCATTGGCACGGTGGGCATTTGACCATGGATAACCAGGCCCAGGGCCCCCGACACTCCCGACCCCGCCCATCCGCCTCCCCGGCTGCTACTGCATCCCATTCCCTGTACCCGGCCCATTACCTCTCCGCGCTCTCCATCCGCCGCTTTCATCTCTTCTTCCCTATTTCCCAATTCCTGACGCCACAGTCAGGGACCCTTCGCGTCAATAACCTGGCCTACCTGCACTCAGCCCTTTCTGATGCCCATTGATCTGTCCGCTCTCTCTTGCCTTGGTCTCTTCACCCCAACCTGCCCTAGGCCCATATTCCCTTCCCACCCCGTCCAGCCCAATCTCTTACCACCTTTCTATTCCTCATCCCTCATCCGTGTCAGAGCCCTCTCTGTGATATCCTAGGTCACCATATCTGTATCTTAGTCCTGAGTTTCAGTAACACAAAATTAAAAACCTTGGCCCCTCAAAATTAAAAACCTTAAGCCACCATCCCTACTCTAGGAAATGGCTTTAGTGCTGTAGTCTTAGGTTGTATCCACTGGGCACTTCCTTGTTGATCCTTAGCCTGATCTGATTGTCGGGAAATATCAACTTAGCCCAGTGATAAATTATTTTTCTATTTCATTCTTGAGGGGTATCTGATATATCAAAATCTGAGGGAAAGAGTAGTTTACAGAAGCCCCCCAGGGAGTCAACTTCCACCTCAAGCGAAGCACTGTTTTACATACTGCACCATAGGCTTTGTTTTGTTTTGTTTCTCCATATTTTTGTCCTCTCCTGCCCCTTCCCATGTAAGTATAATGCAATAACTACTACTGATTTCCTATTTTCCCCCAAGGTGGACAGCAGGGCAGAATCTATTGATAAGAAGATTTCCCGACTGGATGCTGAGCTAGTGAAGTACAAGGATCAAATCAAGAAGATGAGAGAGGGTCCTGCAAAGGTAACATAGACAGCAATTGCTGCAGAAAGTACTGTGACAGTCTAAGCACCTATAGAAATAGGGGCTAGTAAAGAATAGGAAAGAAATACAGTCTGTTAAAGAGAAAATATGCATTAAGATGTATCCTTCAGGGAGGAGAGTTTACAGCCAGGTATAAAAGGGAGGGTGGATTTGACTTGGGGAAGAGAAGGTGCTGATCACATGTACATGGGAAGCAGCATGTTTTACTGAGATTATAATCGGAAAGAAAGGCTGGGTGGAGCTCAGGATCAGTAAGTTGCCAGGCTAGTCAGGTTAGGTAGTATTGACTGGTTAAGGAGTAGCTCATTTGGAAAAAATACTATATTAGACATGTGGGTCCAAATTTCTAATACTATCCCTATGACTACCGACTAGCTCTGACCTTGATAAAGCCACTTATTTTCTGCTTAAGTAGAAACATAATATATTTAAGCACAAGGATTAAATGTAGAGCTATGTTTTTTCCAATTCCATAACTCATTAACCATGTGAGCGAAAGCATTACTGAACCTCAATTTTCCCATCTGCAAAAGGGGATAATATGTACTTTATAGTGTGAGCGTTAAATGCAGTTATTCATGTGACCTGCAGAGCACTACATCTAGAACATAATATTGTTCAATAAATACTAGGTATTACTTGAAAGATAATAATATCTGATTTTTCTTCCTAATTGGAGGAGACAAATAAAACAATATATGGGACATTATAGAAAGAGAAGGCACCAGGTGTGGTGGCACTCACACTTTGGGAGGTTGAGGCAGGAGGTTCACCAGTCTGAGCCCAGCGTGGGCAACTTAACAAGATCTGGGCTCAAAATAAAAAGTGAAAAAGGGATGGGGATGTAGTTTAATGTGAAGGCCCTAAGTTCAATCACCAGTACTGTAAAATAAAAGGAAAAGAAAGGAAAGGCTTTTCTCAGCAACCTTCACTGATGGTATGGTATAAAGAACAGAGACAGGAAAGCCTGTCTAGACTTGAGATAAAAGCCCAAGCCATGGTTGGTAGTCATGAGACTGACATAAAAAGAGAGTCGATTTAAAAGACAACAGAGTTGTTTAAAACTCAGTAAAAGACGAAGAGGAAAGATAAGTTTGATATAAAGACCCTTAAACAGAAGAAGTGGGAGGTTGCTGGGCCATATTTAGACATTTCCAAGATGAGATAAAATTGAAAAGTCTGGGCCTGGTACAGTGGTGCACTCCTATAACCCCACCACTTGGGAGGCTGAAGCAGGAGGATCACTATAAGTTCAAAGCCAGTCTGAACTGCCTAGCAAGACCCTGTCAAAAAAAAAAATGGAAGAATCTGGGCATGTTAAAGTTGGGCTCTTTTGGGCCTAGAAGTGGAGATATTATGTACTATGAAAAGAGAAACTAGGTCAAGACATTGAAATGTGGGATGCAAGGACAGGCAGGAGCTAAGGTTTAATTGGACATAAGAGATATCTGTACTTGGGAGAAGAAGAACAAAATCCAGAAGCTACTGGGTCTACTTCTTTGAAAAAGAAAGTAAGGAGCCATGTAAGTTTGAGGATAGGAGAGATTTCTTTTACTGTTTGTATGTTTTCTACTTTTTGAAAAATTAAATCTGTTTTTCTCCTCAGAATATGGTCAAGCAAAAAGCCTTGCGAGTTTTAAAGCAAAAGCGGATGTAAGTTATGTGAATGATCTCTTTCCCTCTAGAAGCTTTAAGTAAAGGGAGACCCATCAGTTTTTCATACTATTTTCTAAGTTTTCTTGATATAATTAAAAATTTCCATTAACATGTAATTACATACAATTAATGGTGCTTTCCTTCACCCTCCACATATATTGCAATATCTGTGGTAGCATTGTCTGTCTAACTAGAATTTTTGCTATGATGGAGATGTTCTTTGTCTATGTATCCAGTTCAGTAGCTATTAAATACATGTGGCTATTGGGCCCTTGAAATATGATTAATGTGACTAAGGAACTGAAATTTTAATTTTACTTCTTTAATTTTAATTTAAGTATCTATATGTGGCTAGTGACTACTCTTTTGAACTGGCCAGATCTATAGCATTTGGTTCTTCCATTATTTAGTTATTATACCCTTTTTTATTTTGTTTGTAAAAGGAGTACTGAATATTTATTTCTTCTCACTAGGATGGATTTTTTTTTTTTTTTTTTTTTCAATTTTT